TCAAATAAATAAATAAAATCTTTAAAAAAATAAAAAATAAAAAAAGAAATTTTTCAGGAAAAAAGTTGAAAAAAATTTAGTGAGTATAGCTATCAACCTGTCTTTTTTTTTTAACCTGTCTTTTTTGGTGCTTTTCAAAGTTGCAGACATTAAAGGCTCCTGGTGGCTCAGTCGGTTAAATCTCTGACCATTGATCTCAGCTCAGGTTGATCTCAGGATCGTGAGTTCAAGCCACACATTGGGCTCCATGCTGGGTATGGAATCTACTTAAACATTAAAACATAAACAATGGGCACCTGGGCGGCTCGGTTGGTTAAGCGTCTGTCTTTGGCTCATGTCATGATCCTGGGGTCCTGGGTTCGAGCCCTGGGTAGGGCTCCCTACTCAGTGGGGAGTCTGCATCTCCCTCTCCTTCTGCCCTTCCCCCATCTTGTGCTCTCTTTCTTTCTAAAATAATAAAATCTAAAAAACAAAAAAAGTTGCAGACATTAGTACACCTCCCCCAAAATACTTCAGTGTGCATATCATTATATCATATGAATATGTATACTTCATGTAGTATGCATACTTTGGCATGCCCATCATTAACTACAAAGAAACGTAAATATCTAAACTGTATCATTCCTTGAGTTCCAACATAAACATTGTTAAAAGATAAACTGAGGCATATTGAAAATTTTAAGTGTTTGAGCAAAAATCTATTTGAATTGGGCAGCCTCCAATCCAGCAGATACAAAGGAGCTCTGAGTTGCTATATAAAATGAAAGACTTTTATAGCCAGAGGGAGAGGGAACAAGGAAGTTATTCTAGGCAAAAAAAAAAAATGGGTTGGTTATTGTCAGGTTACTTTCTTTTAGGGGATGACAAAAGTCCATCCAGCAGTTTACCTAAGTAGTGCTGAACAGGCAATTCCATTTCTGGGAATGCCAAACTCAGTTTGGTGATGTGGGGCTTAGCACAAGTGACTCCACATGGTTGGGGCCTGTTGTCTTCTTTATAGTAGCATACACCAGTGTCACCAATCTCTCTATCAAGACAACTTTGCCCAGAAAATAACCATTGTTTTGCTATTTTTTTCTATCTTGGATTAATTTTGCTTCTTCTAGGACTTCAATAAATGGAATTGTACAAAATGTAGCCTTTGGATTAGGCTTTGTTCACACAGCATAATTGTTTTTAACTTTTTATTTTAAGACAATCATAAGTTCACATAGAATTATAGGAAATAATACAGAGAGATCACATATATCCTTTTTTTTTTTTTTTAAAGATTTT